TACTTTAAGTCTGCCTGTTCTGGTCAGACGATGAAAAATGATGGATTGTATGATCGTATGGTTGTGCCATGGCCAGACCAATAGCATACATGACTTATCTTTGATTTCAGGCACCTGGTGGCCCCCGTGGACTATCTAAGGTGCCCACAGGCTATGTTCTTAAAATACAACTAGTCAACTAGTCAAGAGGGTCAAAAACTGTACTGTTATTGTGCTCTTTGAATCAGTTACACTTGCAAATGATATTCAAATGGGTCTACTATTGTATGGCCCAGAACTTAATACATCACCGCATTGTTCAGGAGGTCTGTATCAAACAAACAAAGTCGCTCTTCATATTACTGAGTAACCTTGAAGTAGCTTTCAGTTTCAAAAAGGCTGCTGTAGACCGTTGGATTAATATCATAACAAACCATACAACATCACAGATGAAGTCTTCTTTCATGGTTAAGCAGCTAAAACAAGCAAAATTTCAGGTCCACAGAGAAGTCGGGTTTTTAGGAACTGAGAGAAAAAGCTTGATGACAGTGCTATTTCAAGTTCAACTAACAGGATTTAAAAGAGTTTCATCAGAAAAGGCACACGAAATCAACTCGATCTGAAGGAATCTGTCTAAGTTCAGGTTGGTAGATACGCTGCTTTTACTAAGGTTTCAGTCCTTAACACTGCTGCTGACTCCACAGGAAAAAAAAAGCTAAAACCTCTACGAATGGGTGAAATAACCCAACCCTGGTCACTAAGAGTTCGTAGAGAAGTGAAGCTCACCCAAGAAGTGACGACTCAGTAGAAGAAGAACGAAAGACGACCTCACCAAAGAACAAACCGGTCCTTCTTTCAGTAACAGCTTCTAATACACCTTCAAAAATGTGAAGGAGAAAGAAAGATGACAGGCAGCTCCAGTACAACAGGAACAGATGATGGGTGGGGGGTGAGGACGGGGGGGAGGAGGGGGGGGCAGGAAACAGTGTAAGAAGTATTGTGAAACACGCAGCTTTTTCGTTTTTTCCTAAACTTGATGAATCAGACCTGGTGTCCTCACTCACTCACACACACAAACGGGCTTTTGGGTTTTGTGAGGACTGCTCATATACACATTGTTGTCCTCAGTTCTTTTGCAGTCTTTAGTCAGATTATATCCCTAATTTAATCCCAATTGTAATCTTTACCCTGAACTAAGTTACGACACACAAAACATACCCCGTAAAGGAATGCCATTCTCATAATGGGAAGAAAAAAATGTCCTCAGAAGTAAGAAAAATAACAAGACACACACACACACACACACACACATACTCAGTCTTGCCATCATGACTGTTTGCTTCTATTCATGGTTATATGGCTTTAAGGGAAAAGCTGCAACAAACCAGTATTTTAACTTCTTTTATTTTTACTTCCTCTCAACATGGACACAACTGAAGCCCAGTTCAGAATTTTCAAAGGCTCTCTCTCTCTTTCTCTCTCTCTCTTTCAGACAAATCCAAAACTTTTAAAGTCGACTCCTTCATCCCTCCGGTCCAACTGGCAGAAGACAGTGATAACCATCAACAACGGTGCTTTGTGTTTCTGCCTGTTCTTTGATGTAAACGGCAGTTTTTCAAAATAGAGGCTAGCTGTACGGAGAACTGAAAGAAGTAGATTACATGATGACATCACGTGGTCCGTGTTGTCAACGTACATCAACGTACATCAACGTACATCAACGTACATCAAGGTGCATTTGGCCCGAGTGTGGTTTTCAGGGCCTAAATATCGACATCCGTGAGACAGGGTTAGTGAATCTCCTGTGCTTCTTGTGTTTGTGGTTTGGGTCTCAGAGTTCAAAGTTAAATGACAGTCCGGGAGGTATGTCAGACATTTCAGCAACAGCTTGGGAGGGGCACTTTCCTGTTACTACATGACCGGTCCAAAAGCAACTACATACATGTGCCTCTGGCGCTGATGAAATGAAGTAGTAACCAGTAGGGGGCAACGTCTGAAATTACTATGAAGTAAGTGTAAGTACACCTGAAAACTGGAATCTGTTTTCCACACACACACCAACCACCCACAAACTGAACCAAAATGACCATAAACAGTAAAGAAGCATCAATCCACCATCCAGTGATCAGAATCGGCCAATTATCAGCATGACGGGCCAGCAGTTGTTTTTTTTTTTTCCGATATGGCAGTCGAACGTTTACCTCAAGCATGTGGAGAACAGGTGAGGAAGCTCACACTCACAAGCTGAAGCGAACATGTCAATAGCTTGTAAGTACTATACGGTGAGCCGAGAAAACTCCAAGCTCGCTATTAGTAATACATGTAACAGTAGGTTAACCGCGGGACACTGTACACAACGAGATTCACCACTCTGTGGCTTTTATTTGGCAGAAAGTTGGCGGCACATGAGCCAGTGTTCATTTACTGCCTCATTCTACTCACTTTATTTTGAACTGCAGATGCTACCTTTTTGTACACGCTGTTAATTGAAGGCAGTATCAGAAAGTCAAACTTACCAACAGACTGCAATTGGTGCATCTTTAATAAACAACAGGACATTTACTTGTTTATTACGTTTTTAAGATAATTTGATAACTTTCTTCTTAAGTGGGATTGGGCTTAACAGTGTACATGGCCTACCTTGCCTACCTTGAAAGTGGACCAGGCAATGTGGGCTATACCACCGTTTTTCTGTAGACCAGGGAGCTGAAGCTCCTTTAAGGCTACTCAGTAATATGAAGAGCAACTTGTTTGATACAGACTTCCTGACCAATGTAATACCAGGGTAGTCCATGGAGGCCACCTGGTGCACCACGTTGGTGACCCCTGCTGTTGACCCTTCATCCTTATATGTCATTGGGCTACCTGGTGCACCCGGTCACCACGTTGGTGACCCCTATTGTTGACCCTTCATCCTTATATGTCATTTGTATTTAAAGTCTCCATCATGCTGGTTAGCCAAAGCTAAGGTAGGGATAAAAAGAACAAGTAACATGTAATAAAACTACAGTGAATTTACCAGTACATCCGTCATGTCGTGAGGGTGGGCAGTCAGTTAGTGCAGGATTCTTCAGTGATGTTAGCAGGTCGGACACATGCATGTCATCCCATCTTCTGCCTCGGACCTCTGCTTCAGTATTTCACACACACACACAGACATAGATACACACACACACACACACACACACACACAACCACACGTACAAAATGTGGGATGCATGAGTGTTGGTGTTAATATGTAGTTTCTCAGAAATGTCCCACGGAAGAATACAAGAAAAGCACAGATGCAGCCCATCAATGTCACACATCCCATGCAGCAACGCACCAACGACACGATGCACAGACGAAAACACAAACACAGAGTTTATAATGCCCATTAAATGCAAACAAAATAAATCCCAGTGGTAGTAGGTATGAAGACAATATGTGACAAAACACACACGTACCAATACACACACATACACACACACACACACATACACATACACATGAAAAGAGAAAAAGGCCATAATGAGTACTTTTTCTGGTACAGTGTTTCTAGAATAATTCAGGAATAACAAATATCATAACTCTAATACAGTGTTTCCCAAACTTTTTTTCTGTCCTTCATGACCCAAATCAACAGACATTATTCGTAAACTCCTGGGAAACATGATGCGAGACGACCCCAAAAAAAACCCCTCTTGCGACCCACCTGAGGGTCGCGACCCAGTCTTTGAGAAACATTGCTCTAGTACACATTCAACTCTCATACCCATAAAAACTGTGAAAAGAATTATGGTGAAAGTCACAGTAAATCAGCCAAATGGGAAAGTTAGAGCATATCAGCAAAAAAAATCTAAATGTCTGATTGTATGTCAGATAGACAACTGCGCAGCTAATCGGAGGCAAAAATAACACTTAGACTAAATCCAGCCCAGGCCTTTACAGCGTAAAGCTCCAAAAAAACATCCACCTCTGAGGCCTGTGAAGTGCTGCCCACTGCTCAAGTTTCATGAATAGGTTAAATTACACGACAAACCTAAGGCCAGTGAATCCAGCTCGTACGGCTGACTTAAAATAAACTTGATTCTAATTCTCTAATTTAAATCCTAATAAGGCATAGACTTACATACATTTTCCATAAACTGTAACTGGATCTTGGTTAAACTCAACATTATAATGCACATTGAGTTTAACACAAAAGAATCAATACAATTCCCACAATGTTATAACCTTTGACTTTCTTCAAAGACTTATTTAAGTTAACATGCAGAATTTGGATGACTTTTCTACTGTGATGTACCTCCTACTTTCTTCGGAATCCTGCCCAACCAAGGCTCTCGAATTCCACATTGAAAACATGAGACAGTGATTAGCAGCAAGGTTGTTGCTCATCAAGCCATTTAGTTTTGTTAAAGAAAGCTAATGAAATGATGCAGAGTTATTTTTGGTAAAAGAGAAGGGCTAATTTTGGTTGGGATGTGAGACGTATCTCCTGGGATTACAACACTCTGAGCAATCTGGAACTAGGAGATTTGTGTGTTTTTTAGAATGGACAACAAGGGAAAAGAATTAATGTTTACTTTACTTTACATTCCCAGAAAGCTAGATAAAGTGGAGGACACAGTGTGCCAAAAAGGAACCCAATGAATTTACCCAATGCAATCCTGAAACATGTGAATTAGATGTGAATTGATATTTTGATGGATGGATAGATCGCAAAGTAAAGTTATACTTTTATAAATCAAGTAGTCTATTACTAGAATTTTTTGAATGCTAAATGCAGGGTTAAAAAACAATTTGTTTTTCATAATTCAAATAAATTGCAAAGAAATTACAAATTCAGCCATGAATATTGAACGTTTTGAAGTTTAAGTATTTAATACACCACAGCTTGAGTTCACATGCTCTACAGTTTATCCAAAAATATCTCGATTTTATCTCAAAACTCTGTGGTGAGTTGAGTTGACGTTATATTTAGAATTAAATGGTTTGCGGGCCGTGAAAAAACTGCAACGTTCTAATGCAATCCATTTATATCCCATTGAATAACCTCAAATATGTGATGTGGATAAACAAAACCACAAGTGTCATGTGAGTGCTCCAACATTAGCCGAGCACTTGTCCAAACACAACGAGGACCAATTCAGGACAGACAAAGATGGAGACAGACATAGAGAGTTTGGGCGAAAAACTGATGTTTATAAAGAAAGAGGAAATAAGTAACAGTCACAATGAAGAAAGACCTCGGAAGTGACGGGCGTCAACTGGCAGGAAACGAAAAGGAATTTACAGAGTGGTGAAATGTATAGACGCAGATTTTGTCACTAAGAAATTACAGCGTTTTACAAACACACATCCTTATCCTTATCCTCCTGTCTCGGTCTGTAGTAACATTTGTAGACAACAATCATCGGTTTATAAAGATATAAGGTCAGTGCTTTAGTCGGGCAGGAAGACTGGTTTCATACACATCATGTGTTCAGTGTCTGAGGTCTGATTATCCACTGATGCTGAGATGTCTCTGCACTCGACCGACTTTTTACACTTCATGATCGGCTTTAACTGTTTCATTGTTTTCCCAGATTCAAAGGGTGCATGATCATGTATATCACCTCTCTGTCAATGCAGCATGACTGTGCTGATGTGACAAATACAAAACTAATATATATGTATATATATTTAAAACATGCTCTGTTTGTGCAATACCCATTTAATTTAGCCACTTAAACCAAAATAACAACTGACTTTTCTCCTGGCTTATCCCCCTAATGATCCAGAAAAATATTTCTTAACAATCCATGTCCACAACCATTTGTCTACTGAATCCTGTTTGTCTCCAGCAAAGTTTTTGGGCAACTGTTTTTTACTCTTCTAACATTTCACTCCACACAGAATCGTTTTAAACTATGCCACAATGCTGCTTCATTCACAGAGTTCGGACCTTGAAGCACAGAATCGTTTTAAACTATGCCACGATGCTGCTTCATTCACAGAGTTCGGACCATGAAATTAGTCACAGGCGTAAACTTTGACATCTGATATTGTTGATCCTGGAGTCAGTGATGTGGAAAAAAATGTTCACTGCCTTAAAAGGAAATTCCCTGAAAAAGAGAAGATCATATAGAGGAGGACTATGGAAGTCTGAAACCTATGTGTAGGTCATTTAACATGTTTGAAGTTGTTCAGTCAGCCTGGAGCTTCATTTATGTAGACAACCGATAAAAATACCCAAGACAACAGCTGAATCCAACAGAAAAATGTTCAAATACTTAAAGGTCGAAAAAATATTTATTTCAAAAGTGCTTTCCTTTGCAATACCTTTACCCAATGCTGCCCAGTACTGTATGACTCACGGACAGGTATTTACAACCAAATGAACTATTGTGAAAAATACAAAAAGTAGCTAATTGTCTCATATTTTATCATGTTAGGTGACGGAAACTCGACTGCAATCACATTCATTTCTGCTTTTGGTGTGTCGTAGTGGTGCTTTCTCCTTATATGGTCACAGACTCTACCACAACCAAAGACATCCCAACAAAATAACCATTTTCTCGCCACCAGACTTGCCATATACATATGCTAAGGTCTAACATTGGACTATCACTTAATTCATGTGCTCCAAGTGCACCATGGACCTCATGGTGTCAGTTTACGTATCAACAGTGTTTATAGTCCAGCAAGGTCACTATAAACTCGGGAAAACTGGGATACTGTTGACAAGCCAATGAAGGCCTCATGGTCTTGGTGTTAAAACAGATGCTCGTCTGTTTCAATAAATATATATTGCCCATTTTGCTTCCACTTATCGTTATAAGATATGGGCTGCATCCATCAGAGAGTACTTTCATTAAGGTCACTAGCAATTTTCACCTTAGTCAAGTCTAATTCAGCAAGCTTTTTGCTTAAGATTCTTGAGGCTTTTAGTCTAGGGCCGTAATTAGTAGATTAGTAATGAGATAATAAAAATATGATCGTATACGCCTGAATCTTGTCTGACAATATTCACTTTTTTTTTACCAGTCTATTAATGACATGACGACAGCGTGTTCAAATTACAATCACTGACACAGTCTAGGAAACCCAATAAACACACAGCTGGAGAAAAATGAACTAAAACAAAATGAATAGGTCAGTGTTAAATAACTATCCAACGGAATCAATTATGACTCTGTAGTCTTTCCTTATAGAGTACGAAATCTCATGACAAATAATGATATCAAAGAACAAATGATAAAACAGAAATAAAACAACAGCGGCCTGTGTCTGATTTGTCTATTTGTCCATTGAGGCCTAGTCCTGGTAAACATCACCGATGTCAGAATGTCAGTGAACTTTTCTTACACTGAGATGTCCGCGGTCTTGAAGGTACCATTAAGGTACTCATCAAGGGTCTTAAAGTCAGAGGTTGAAGACAACTGAACACCACATGTGACTGAAAGCTACATCCAAACAGGATCCTCACAATGAGAAACAACCTCAAATGTCACAACCACCCATAAACACTGTAGATGTTGAGATGTTGTTGAGTGTCATCAATGGTCCCATGTGGCCAGAGTTCCCATGAGTCTACCCAGCTGTTGATCACACAAGCTGTCCTTACGCGTTCACACCACTTATTACTCTATGATCAATTCCCTTTTTTTTTTACATATGGACAATGAAAATGTCAAATGTGATATAAAGACATGAATTTCTCTTATTTTTTTCTCATCTCAGGGCTGAATTTGGACTTCCTTTTAAATGCTGTTTCAGTTTCGGAACAAAGCTCCACATCTTTTAAACAGATTTCCACTTGAGTTTGTTGTAGAAAAACCTGGACCAAACAACGATGACAACATTTGTCAAAGCTGCTCAGATGCACCTAGAGACGCGTCCTAGCATGTTTGAGTAATTGGAATCGGACACCTGTTGAAATATTAACACCATATCTCTGAACCTTTGACTTGACCTTGTGCACTAATTTTGCGTGGACTTGTATCCACACCGAGCTACTTCTTAAAACCAGCCCAGCACGTTTGCTGTTTCTCTGCAGACTGGCTGTGAGCTGTAGCTGACTGACTGTTTTCTCAACACTATGTCGTTAAAACGTGGGTTAAATTGTCATTTTGAGCATTTTCAGGTTTTTACCCTACGCCTTATTCTAGTCGAATTAATAGAAGGATGTGTTATGAATAAAACACTCTAAAAGGAACAAGGAAAACTTTAACTTAAGTAATTAAAAAAAATACAGCCATGGTTTGTTAGCGCTCTTGGTTTTAAAGATGGCTCTGAAACACACAGGTAGCAAAGACACGAGGAATAAAAGTGAAATCATGACGGGGAGGAAAGACGTCTCCTTCGAGCCCTTTCTCCGCGCTGATTACGGGGCTACTGTGAATACACTCGAGGAGGAATCAAGAAGGTGAGAGCAGAGGGGACGAAAGGGGAGGAGGGGTGAGGAAGGAGGGACAGAAGGGGAGGGGTGGGAAGGAATCACGGAGACCGACCTTTTCCTCAACAGCGCGGAGCGCGGAAAAGCCCTGCCGCCGACTGGAGACCGGTGAAGGGGAAATTAAACTGAAAGCAGCACCTCCTCCCCTCCGCACCCCTCCTCTCTCCCACCCTCACCTCCCCGTCCTCAGGCTCGTCAGTGCAGCCGATCAGATACTCACAATCTTGGCATTAATAAGGTCCGGAGGGCGGTATCCGCTGCGCTTTCGGAGGCACATCCGTGTTCTTTCCCCTCGGCTGCTCAGCACCGGGGAGGTTAGATGCAAGGAATTTTTTTAAAATTAATTTTCCCCAATATATCCTGATGCCGACGCCGTCGCTGTATCGGAAGAAGGAGTCCTCCACCTCCTCCCCCTTCTGCTGCTTTCCTCCTGCTCGGGTTTTTCCCTGAGAGAAAGAGAGAGAGAGAAAGCGAGGCAGAGAGAGAGAGAGTGATAAAGACACGTGTAGAAAGAATGAACGTGTGTGTGAGAGAGAGAGTGAGAGAGAGAGCGAGAGAGAGATCACCGCCCTGGCAGCCAGGAACAACACTGCGCATGCGTGGCTCACACGTATATCCAAGCGGGGGAAACCCAAAGTTTTCAGATGTTTTTTTCTTAAAAGAAAATATAACAAAAGTTTAAACACTTTTGTATAATACCGCCGGTATTTTATTCAAATAAATGCAGCCACGTCATTTATCAGAACTTTAACTTCCAAACAATATTAGACATAAACTTTAATAACTAATATGACTAACATTGTCACCCTTATTTAACCAAATAAATGTTTCAGAGCGAATATCACTTTTTACCAGTGTACTCCACTACATTTTTAAAACTACACTTCTTTTCTGTACGCTATTATCTGATTTTTTTCAACAACATATACCTCATATCAACACCACATAACAAAAGTGAGTGTTTTATTAGTTAAGAATGTATCACCGAAATATACGTATAAATATTTAAGGGTAGGAAGAAGTCAGCATGTATTAAATGAAAAAATATTAGGTGAATTAGGTGATTTAAAACATATATACATATATATATTATTTGTGAGTATTGGTTGCTAATGTGATGTTCTGCTGTAGATGTTTCTAAATAATCACCTGGTGTTTTTCGGGCGTCACCTGTTTAATCTTTCAGAATGCGAAGCAGATGTTGGTTTAAAGTCAGACTTAATGTGTAAACAGTCCTCAATTTTCCCATGTTGGCTTCCATGTAATAAAAACATCGTTTAGATGATAGAGGTCGATAGAGAGGTCGTTCGGTCGGTGAAGTGGACCTTTACCAACGAACTACTGCTGCGGTGAGACTCACAACAACTTCACTCAGTTAGACTCTAAGAGTAGATTCCTATGGGCAAGTCTTCTGTTTACAGGAGGGGGCGCCATAGACCAAGAGGAGAGAGAGAGCGAGAGAGAGAGAGAAAGGGAAACAGGGAGTAAGTACCACAACACATCGTCGGAAGCCTACTACATATGTTTACACTGCAAAACCTACTGTACTGTAAGAAGCCTACTACATATGCTTACACTGCAACCCGTAATTATTTCACATCTATTTAAAACGGAAACAGTACAGAAACATCACACATTACAGAGACATTTAAAGCACAGGTTAATACTAACTCAGGTCAGTTGACTGTGCTAATATTTATGTTAACCTCAGCTCAAACCAAGAAAACGAACTCCTCTAAAGTCTGATGTCATCACAGGGATAATAATTTGACATCATCTTCAGACCTTATCTTTGAGCTTTCATTTCCCCTGAGACTCGTGTCCTCCAGGTCATCAGACCCGAGACCCGATTTAGAACCTGATTACAGGAGACCTTTGACCCATAAATCAACTGTTACATAAATATACATGAATATGAAGAGTTGTTTGTTTTTACCGCCCCCCCCTCCTCCCCCCACCCCCGTTGAAAACAGTGGACCTGCTTCACCTCTTTGTTATCGCAGGTTGACCTTTGATCGATGGCACGATTGTGAACCAGGTGTAGCAGCTGAAGTCTAGTCAGATATCAGTGTGAGCTCCTATTTATTCACGTATGAACCCGGACAGCTTTGTTCTGTAGCTCAGCAGCTCAAACTGACGCCTGTGGACTGATTTCATACATTACAGCTAACGGGGGAATAACAAACCCTGTCGAGAGAATCTTCTACTAATGAAACAGAAATACGACGTGTTAAAATAAACCACTTGTTGAATTTTCCTTCCAGAGTTTTCTATCAACACAAGGGGGCACTACAGCCGTGTATCAAAGCACTACTTGAAAAATCAAAGCATTTAGAAGTTATGCAGGTAATTTTTTTTTTTTTACTGCAGACAGTTATTGACCAACGGTTTGATTCAGGGTGCAATTATCCCCTCAACTCCCCCTTCCTCCCCCATCCATCCCTCCCACACTAAGTGTTGTTTGTATGTCTCTTATGAACTTTGTCATCTGCAGTGAGCACGGACCATTGAGCACACACACACACACACACACTGCGCTGTTTCACCAAAGTCCCCAGTCCTCTATGACAGCTATTATCTTCTACTGATTAGTTCCACTGGAGGGATCAGGGACTGAACTGATTTGCCTGAGGAGAGGACGAGTCTCTCCACCCAATTTGATGTCAATTTTATTTATCGCTTCGTCCCAAAAAGAAAACAAAATCCTACAAATATGAAGTAGAAACGTGTGGGAGATATTTGGTCGATGGTAATGATAAGGGTCGTGATGTTGCGTAGCTATCGTTAGCAGTTAACTTAGTGGAACAAAAGGCCGATAGAGGAACGATTTTACAAAGGTTACCCTTTTTTTTAATATTTTTCAGAATTCAATTAGAAAACATGTATATATAAGTATATCAGTATGTCCAATATATTAATATTTACATAAATGTCATTTAGCAGATTAGTGGCCACTAGTGGTCATGATGTGGGCAATTATAAAAGTGTTCTTTATGGATTTTATGGATTAAGTTGTAGGATGAGATTAGAGATTATTAAAAATAATCTCTAATCTCGACGGATACTTACAGTAACCCCAGGATCAGGGAGCGAAGCTTCTTTCCCTCTCTCCATTTTTGGTTTTTACACTTCTAATTTTTCTGTTTTTCTGACAACTTCCTGTACTGTGGCAAAACTTCAACAATCAACAAGCAACTCATCGAGTGGAGTGAAGAACAGATTGCTGGGGAAAGCTCCCACTCATCAACCTCTCAGTTGTACTTCAGTACGAAGACAGACCAAGACTCAGTCCTTCACCAAATGACAGTCTGCTCCAGTCTGACATTCAGACACGACTTCCTCTCTTCATCCATTCACTCACACGTCTCTTATCTGTGATCCCATTTGTGTGAAAATATTTTACAGCACAAATGACACTGAAAGAAAAGTACACACTGTGTACACACTGATTAGCAGCTCCGAGCAGGTATTGACGTTTTTTAGTATTTCTGGCCCAACTTTTGGTTTTCGTGCACTGTGATGTTTATCCTGTGTTATTCATTTACCTTTTCAACAGCAGTTTGGAGAGATGCTACGATGCTACGCTTCAATTTGAGAGGAACTTGTTCTTCAAATGTCTTTCACCAAGTTAAAAGATAGAAAACACAGAGATGCTCTGTTCTCTGAAGGGCAATGTAGATCAGAAGGTCCTGAGATCACGTTAAATCAAACCTTCTGTGGTCGAATAAAAACTGAACGACACCTGGCACCCCCCCCCCCCCCCCCCCCCCCCGCCTCGCGCTCACCCCCTTTAACAAAATAAGACAAAACAACCATCAAAGGCTCCGTCAGACCCAACATCACGGCTCAAGAAATGAATGAAAATCCTAACCTCTAAACAGACACTAGTCCTTCTAATGTCTCACAGATCATTCAGTGACCAGTAGCTGAGTTTATGGATGTCGAGGCCTGCTATTGGCTAGCTATATTTTACCAAGTGGAGTCCTCTTGTCACATGGTACTGTTATGAACAGGTGAGATGAGGGTGAGGTGTTGTGCAGAGGAGATATGCTTTTAAAATGATCTTGATCTGATAAGTGATGTGCAGTCTACACCCCCTCCCCCCCCCCCCCCCCCCCCCCCGCCCCGCCCCTGCGCCAGCGCCGCCGCCGCACCCCACCATGTAACATTGTTCATCCCTAATGGATTTGATATTTTGGAGCCGTTTTTTTTTTCTAAAGGAAAGAGACGTTTTGTTTTTGTGAAAAGACAGGATTTCGTTTTTCAACCTGCCTCTAAGTAGTCATTAAATTGCCATTAATTACAGCTTGGACAATTTTAAATTGACATTGTGACAAAGTGGCATCTCCCAAATATTTCTTGAAGACTCCCTGAATTCTCCAAGATCACAATTTATTCACTATCAATTCGTGTTCCTGTAAAAATCCACACAAAAAGATGAATCCTTCATCAGACTCATTTTCCTGAACATCATTTGATTGATTATTAAAAAGTAAAATGTTACAATTTCATAAAGAAATTTCCGGCCTTGAGATTTATATCGTTATTGTGCTTGAAGTCTTTTGATTTCAATAAATCTGCAAAAATATTCCATGTTTTTTTAAAAAGATTTTTCTATCGCTGTTTTTTTTTATTTGTCAGTAAATGTGTTCCATTGATGTCAAGCTTTTCAATAACGTCAACTACATTCCAGGAAGGTGTTTCATCACGTGGATGTTGATGAGTTGACACTGCCTCCTCACACATATTTACTCGAAGTCACTTCAGATGAAAGCAGTCACTGTGTGTCTGCATGTGTGTGTGTGAGAGTCTACCTGTCATAACTGCACTGTACCTGTGGGGTCTTTTTATTTTTTTTCTTAGAAAAAGATAATGTTGAAACTCTGTCCTTGTGGCGTCCTCCTCCAGTCTTCACTCTTTGAGAGAGTATCTTGATGTTCAGGATTCAGTTTGGAATTTCCCACACCTTAAAAACAAAAACAACACAACATGCCTTTTTATATGTATGTTTAATCATATTCAAATGACCTGGACACACACATATATATATTATATTATTTATATTAATATGAATTACTTTTTATTTATTTATTTAAATGCTTTTGATTTAAAATCTTACAAAGGAAATGTTTATACACTCGTCTTTATTGTGTGGAAAAATCCCACAAAAAAAAACACTCCAAACTGCCATCATATTTTTTATTTCGCGCACCCCCTAGTGGCAACTTGCGCCGCAACCCCACAGGTGCCCGCTCCACACTTTGGGAATCCGTGGATGACATGATCACCAACAGGGCCCTGGTTTGTTCTTCTTCTTCTGCTCTGCGGTGTCTCACCCTCTGCTCTCCTGTTGCTGCAGCATTAAACCAGGCCACATTAAACATTCATACAGCTGTAAACCTGGGAAACTGAGAGCCTGGTTATTTTTGATTGACAGCTCAGGGTGAAGCCGCAAACATGAAGCGGTCTTAAATTTATACTCAAGACTCGTCAGCTGTAGGCAGACGGCCACCGTCGTCTGGGGA